GATGGGCTGAATTGCACAAAACGCATGATCGCACCAGCTAGTCTGGTGCGAGTTGCCATTTATTTATTTCAGCAACTGAGCATTTGGTTGAAAGCAGCGCTCGAGAAATTTCCTCATAGTGGGGGACTCTGTGCAACACCAGAACAATTGGAATTATTCCACAAGAATGTCCTGGCGTAAGTGCTTTTCTATTTCTGCTTGCTCTCAGAATATCACCATTCCTGGCCTTCTTTTTATTTATTTATTTGTCATTTTTTGTTCTACGTTTCGCTATACTTGTTTGCTTGACATGGTTTATCGCTGTAAATATAAATTTGGGATACTCTCTAGTGGTGTGGCAAGCACACAGGCGGATCCAGGACGGTTTGCGGAACACAGGGGTGTGGAGGAGGAGGAACTGAATCTATCGGCGGGGCGATAAACAGGAGGAAGGGGAGCGAGGCTCCTGGAGAGGGGGAGGGGGGGAGGGAGAGATTGAAGAGAGGCAGGGGGAGTGCGAAAGAGAGTTTTCTTCACTTTTACCTTTAGATCCTGACTGTTGTAGCAGTTGTACCTGTGCAGCTGGAGGGAGAGGGGGGAAGGGAGGGACGAATGACCCATTGCCTCCCCTCCCCCCTTGGATCCGCCTATGAGCAAGCAACCATGCTGTTTTCTTCCTTTCGCCGTTTTTTTTCGACCAATACTGGGTCACTTGTTGATCAGCTCACTGACGCACTTGGCGCTTCTTTCATTTTGTTATCGCCTGAAATACTCTTCGGACAGAAGTAATTCGCCTTGCGGCTCTAGCCACATAAAGATTTAGTGGTGAATGTTGAACGTGAACACCTTACCGCTAAGAGTTGCCACCTACGGAGCACGTTGTGGCGTTTTGCCGTCAGGGAGTTTTAATTTTTTCAATCTGTTAGTATTAAAAAAATAAAATTTGCATTTTTTAACAAAATTTTACCTATTTTTGTTAGCTAATTCATTTTTGTTTTCAGTGCGACCGAACTTCGACATGTATATTCGCAAATCCGAGATCTGATTCGACTTTACACATGACGGATGAAATGACTGTGGATCGCCTTACTGATCTAGCCTACATGCTTCTCTTCGAAAATACGCATTTTATTGCATGTGCTTGATTGATTTTTGTACGCAATGAAAAATACATATTTGATTGCAGCAAAATGAAACTCCAGAAAATTCTCGTGCATTTTTTTTTAATGCATTAGTACGAATTTATCGTTGAGGTGAAAGTCTGCCTCTTAACAATCCGTTCATTCATTTCGATGGTAAATTGGTGTTGGCACCACCAACAGCCTGCTTCTAGGTGCCATCGCTCCGGGCTGCATCCCAGTGTCTCGGCTTATCACAGAAAATATTTGCGAGCACGGTGTTCACTTTTTGTTTATCTCATCTCGGAATGAAAGTAACACACATCATGCTCAAAATATGCTGCTCAATCAGGCTGCCAAGTTAATGTGCTGCTTTAAACAGTACAGTTTGTACTGCATCAGGGGTTTTTTACAACAATAATCCAATAGCTGTCCCGATGTCGGGAGGAAGTTTATGGAATTTTAATGTTTAGTCATCTGATTTCGAGATCCCCCTTCGTGCATAAGCAAAAACTGACGTGTCTGATTGCTCTGAAAGGACTTTGAAAGTTGGCAAGGAATCTGGAATTTGGCATGTAGATCAGTGAAAATGATCGTGGACTCTCGATGTTGCTGGGTGATGTTTGAGACTTCCTGTATTCTACTAAGTTTTTTTTTTTCGGAACTTTTTATTTACGCTGTTTTCTCGACCTTTTGCTTACTAGTTCATAAGTTGATGACTGTTTACTTTGCTGTTTCTTTTTTTCTTTTTTTTGTTGCTGTAATTGAGCTTTTTCTTAATTTGTAAGCATATTTTTTAATTTTACACTTTTTCTCTAAATGTATTAGAAGATGGCAGCTTTTATGCTTGTTTCTGGAAGAATTCGCTCAGCATGCCATGTATGCATTTGTCTCCTTCAGTGCGCCCCATTTGCTTGTTTTATTCAACCGTTGAACTGAATTAGAAGGGATTATTTCGCAAACCTCAAAAATTTGGCTAGATTAAGATCATTCCTGGAGTGTTTGCCCGAATTAGCTTAATTCTTTTGCCCAAACACCACATTTTCGATCGAATAAGCCCTGCTGTCCGCCACAGAATTTTTATTTTTTCTAGATACAGTGTAAAGATTCTAGATCTAGTATTCTTCGACAGATTTTTTTGTCAAGGAGGAAACTGCCAAATTTTGCTTTTTTTTGTTGCAAAATACGCTCATATTACTAAGTCTTGTAACTTTAGTACCTAATTTCACATACTGTAGTCCGAAAATTACGATTTTTCCACTTAATCTTTCTTTAGTCCTTAGCCTGCTCCTTCCCTTCCCCCCCCCCCTTCTCCCCACTTCCCTCCATGTCCTCTTCCTTGACTCCCCTCTTTCCGCTCTTCTTCTTTCTGTTCCTGTGGCCATTTTGCTGTCTTAAGGAAGAAAT